CACACACACACACACCACACACACACAGAGCAGGAATCTCCTTGGTTGAGGGCACTTCCCACTTAGGCCCCTCAGGACGGAGTTGTCCAGGACAGAAACACACACATGGCCACACACACGGCCTCCCCTCCATCTATGACTGGCCCAGAGCTGCCCAGCCAGAGAGGACGCAGGGGCAAAGGAGATAATCTGCTCTCAGTGAAAGAAACAATGGAGTCAGTGCGGCTTAGATGAATGAATGCATTCACTCATTCTACTTGAAATCAACACCCAATAGATGTAAGAAACAGAAAGAAATCATTTAGGTAGATAAGGTGAAGAGAGTCCCCAGCAAAAAGCTTTCTAACAAAAAGCAGCTTAGAAATTGCTCCCTTTCTAACCACACCACCCAGTTCAAATAAGTCACTTCTAACAAAGAGCAGCCTGACCTTTCAGGCTGTAAAACACAGATAAGCAACTCAGGGCACAGACTTGGGAGGTTCCTGGGTAATCACCAAGCCACATACATACGATGGTCCCCAATACAAACAGCAGGCCTAAAGCACATTCCTTTCCCTTTAGGCACACTAAGATAGGGAAGCTGGAAGCGTGCGTGGGGGAGATGGCTGCAGCTGCAAGAAGGTGCCTGGGAATGGGCAGAGACACTCTCCCTCACCTTTCAGCACACACAGATAAGCGGTGCAGAGCAGCACAAACTAAGGGCCTGCCTGCAGGATCAGAGAATGGGGTGGGAGCCGGGCACAGTGGCTCACGCCTGTAATCCTAGCACTTTGGGAGGCTGAGGGCGATCACGAGATCAGGAGATCGAGACCATTCTGGCTAACACGGTGAAACCCTGTCTGTACTAAAAATACAAAAAAAAAAAAAAAAAAAAAAAAACCGCCGGGGCAACACAGCAAGACTCTGTCTCAGGGGAAAAAAAAAAAAATGCATTTCTTTCTATTCAATGAGAACATGAGGAAAAGGCAGAGGCCGGCTGGGAGAGGGTTTGTGTGTGTAACATTGAGTTTCAGTATAAAAGATCAAGGCAGGACTGAAAGCCCCAAGGCTGGCATCGCAGCTCTAGAGCGAGGGGCAAGGGTAGGGCGGGGGGTGAGAGTAGAGCGAGGGGTAAGGGTAGGGTGAGCACAGGTGTGAGGGGACTCTGGCAGGCCTGGACTCTGGTGGGTGGTGGGGTGACCTAGGAGTTGGCTGAAGCTCCCTCGGGCTCCAGGGAGGTTCCCTCAAGTGCCTTCCCCACCCAGCACCTAGGCCCTGAACGGAGTCCCCAGGAATGCCCCACGCCCCATCCGCTTCACCTGTCCCAGGGGAAAGTTCTGTGTGGTTTTTTCCACTTTAGCCCTCTGCGGGGAGACGCGGGGTCAGAGGCACATCTGCTCTGGAGAGGTGGCCGGGCGCAACACGACTCAGGCCAAACCTGAGAATTCTGAACCTCCTCCTAGACCCATCTGTGCACGTCCTTGTAAAATCCTTTCCGCAAATGAACCCCGCCGCCATCCCCCACAACCCCCGCCACCCTCACATCTGATCGTCGTCTTCAGCCTCCACCATCCCCAGGTGACCTCTGATCACCCTGGCCTGCCTTCAGCAAGAATCCTGCTAGGTGGGTTTAGCCAAAACCCCCCGGACCCCTGAGGTTTGCTCTTAGTGATTTTCCATCCACTGATGGTACCTGTACCTATCTCGATGGTCCTGAATAAAGTCTTCCTTATGGCCATTTAACAAGTTCGCCATCCCACCTTGGGGACAGAGACGCATTTGCTGTAGAAAGAGGGACACTAATACAGTTGGTGAACCCTCAATCGGGGACAACAGCAGGCTCCCAGCATTCAACCCTGCATGTTGCTAAGCCCAGGTGCTTGGGCTTCATGGGGGACTCTTACATGGCAGCTCCTGCTGAGCACTTTGGTGGCTGGAATAGTCTGGAAAGAGGAATAAAGTAGGAGACATGAGATCCGTGGCGCTACTTGGTAATTCGCACTGTAGGGAAAGGAAGATGCCGAGGATGCTGTAAATAAGCCCCGAATTTATGTGCAAGCCTCTTGTGTTTTCAATAGTCTTGTTTTGCCAAATGAGGAAATGGTGGGGAGAACTGAAGCCTTACACCTTTAACCCTTCCACTGGACTAAGCCCAAATGTATCATTTTATCTTCTTCCTCCTCAGCTTTTCTGAAGAGAAAGGGAGTGAAGGCACGGCACTGTGAAATCGTGAAACTTATCCTTAACTTGGTGAATGGAGGGTCTGACAAGTGAGGAGCCGAGGAGCTACGACCCTGTGGGGAGACCAAGATCGCCAAGAGCGGGGCTCACCTCCCCTTTCCCTGGGATCCCACTCAGAGCTGCCTTCGGCTGGCTCTCCATGCCCTGGGGGGCTCCCCCATCACATCCGCCTAGAACAGCAGGGTCTCGGAGAGCCCAAGCGTAAGGGACGCTTGCTGCTGCCCAGGAACGGCACCCCGTCCCGGGAAGTGACTCCCCCACAACATACCCAGGCCGGGTGAGAAAAGGGCTTCCCCTCCCTGGCTAAGGAAGTGAGATGCTCCTCTGCAACTGGACCTGTAACCAGCTGACCCTGAAGTTCCTGTGTCCCTGGGCCCCACCCCTTCCTGCATGGCGTGGTCAGCAATTCCTCCATCAAGCCCCCTACAACCCTCCAGACACCCTGGTCTGCAGCGGCCAGTGGAGGCCAGAGAACGCTCCGACACAGGTCATGACCCAATTCACAGCAAGTAACAGAACCCCAACCTCACGTCACCCCGATGGCACTTCTTTTGCTCAGCAATCCCCAGGTGACATAGGTCCACCAGGGAGGGGGCACACAGGGTGGCCACCAGGCCGCTTGGACACCGCAGTCACGTCCCTCTCAGGGCCTCCAACCCTCCAATGGCTGGGTGCTCCCTGGACCCCAACCCACAGCAGCAAGTGTCCCTGCGACACAGCTATCTGGCCCCACCCTGAGCCCAGAGCATCTCTGGGCAGAAGGGGCAAGAAGTCATCTGACTCCAGGGGTCTGGCCCCACACAGCCTGCACCCCAGCACAGCCTCCAGTGTAGCCTGTACCCCACACAGCCTGCACCCCGCACAGCCTGCACCCCAGCACAGCCTCCAGTGCAGCCTGCACCCCACACAGCCTGCACCCCACACAGCCTGCACCCCAGCACAGCCTGCACCCCAGCACAGCCGCCAGTGCAGCCTGCACCCCAGCACAGCCTGCACCCCGCACAGCCTGCACCCCGCACAGCCTGTACCCCAGCACAGCCTGCACCCCAGCACAGCCTGCACCCTGCACAGCCTGCACCCCAGCACCTCTGAGACAAGAGCTGTCGGAGTCACTGAGGGAGCGAACCCAGCCGTCAGGACTTGACCCCAGGGGATCATGGAGGGAGACTCCACATGGAAGAACAGCCTGTTCCACTTAAAACAGACACAGCCAGATCCCCGTCACTGAGGCCCTGGCTGTGGGGCCTGCGACAAGCTGTCACCTTCCCCTGGAGAGAACAGCAACACCCCCTCACGAGGCGGCCCGAGGCTTCTCTGGGATGATCCCATCAGGTGTGGTCCAGCCCGGGACAACGGCACACAGATGACAACCAGGAGGCACCTGGTGGTTCACTCAGCTCAGCCGCTCAGCCGACAGAGGCGGACGCGGTTTCCGGGAGTGCAGGGATGGATTAGTGATGCTTGCGGGGGGCCCAGGTGATGGCGATGGTGATCTGTGTTGCGTATGTACCATCCCTCAGGATTCTTCTCCCTGAACCCCAGTGCACTCTGACCTCATCCTAGTGTTCCCTCAACACAAGAGCGAGGCCTCCTGCACTGGGAGCGTCTGGCCACGAGTGGCCTTCTGACCACCTGGACCTGCGTGGGCTACAGCTCTGCCAGGCCTCGCGCCGTCCACCCTCAACCCAGCCACCCCTTGACCCGGGAGGGTCAGGGAAATCAGGACTTCTGAGACAGAACGGCTGGTTCCCAGCCACCCTCGAGAGAGAGATGGGACCCAAGCCCCGGGTCCCTGGATGAAGGGCTCTGGGGGACACGTGAAATCACAGATGGGAAGCTGGGGGAGCCAAGCCCGTGGGAATTGCCATTTATTCCCAAAGTTGCCAAAATCATCACCAAGGATTCACCGAGGGTGCATGAGGGGGTGCGTGAGGGGAACAAGGAGGCTCAAACACTGACTGAGGGTTGAGAGTTTGGAGGGAGGGGGAATAGGTGGGGGCCCCAGCCGCCCCTCCCCCTTCTAATGCCACGGGAAAGGGGTCCTCCTCTGGCCAGCTCCCCTCCCCAGGCCCCATGTCCAGTTTCCCTCCGGGGAGGTGGGGTGGGAAAGGAAGAGGATGTAGTGTGAGTGGGCCCCAGGAGGGGGAAGGGCACTGGGGGCAGGGATCCCCCATTTCACATGCACTCACAACACTGATCTCCCAGAGAGCGAGAATGGGGCAGCTGGATGGAGCCAGGCCCCCTTCCGCCCTGGATTATAGGAGGAAGGGGTTAGTGTTGGGGGCCGGGGGGCCTGGGGGCATCATGGGGGGCAGGCCAGGGCCCCCGCCAAGGGGAGAGATGTACGTGGGTGGCGCTCCAGGGACAGGAGGCACAGGACTGAGACGGAGCTGGTTCAGGGTGAGCGTCGCAGGGGGCGCGGGCTGGAAGGGGTTCGTGACGGAGGGGCCAGTGGCTGGGCCTCCTGCAGGAAGAGAAGACCAGAGACACGGAGTGCAGTCAGTGGCGCGGCCCACCTGTGTCCATCCAGCACGTGCAGGCGAGGGGCGAAGCGTCCCTGCCCTGTGAGGCACCTGCTCTGCTGGAACCCACAGGGAGGACTTGGGCAGGTGATGGGCCCACACTCACCGCCTGGCAGGAAGGGGTTGGAGGCCTTGGCTCCAGACGGCGTGGGGCCCGGCCGGCTCACCAGCGAGTCCAGGTCGACGAGGGCTGCATTGGGCCCCAGGAATGACTCCGGCGTCTTCCGGGTGGGGGGCGTGGGAGTTGGTGTGGCTGCAGGTGGGGGGCTGCCCACAGCCTCAGCCAGAGATCCCCTGACCCCACTCATGTCAAAGGCCCCAGGGCTTCGGGCCGGCACCTCTCCTGCCAGCAGCTCCAGCTCTCCTGGAAGCAGCGGGGAGAGGGGCTCAGACAGGGGAGATAGCAAGGCTCCAACCTGGGAGCAGTATAGGCCATCACAGGGGGCGCTTCAGAGAGGCCGGTGCCCAGAAGCCTCAGGAAAGAGGAACTGAGGTGCAGAGCGGAGCAACGCCTGCCCAGGCCAGAAGCTCGCATGTCAGCCCAGATTCCCACAAGGTGGGTCTGAGTCCAGTGAGCAAACGCAAGAGGGATGATGGAAGCAGGTGTCACCCTCTGACAACCACAAGGCAGCAACTGCTTCAGGGAGGGGCTGTCCAGGGTCTCTAGGCCCACGGGGGAAGGCAGCGGGGGCCTGTTCACAGGGGCCTCCAGGCTCCGAGGAGCCTGCCCTCAGACGCTCCTTGAGTACACAGCCCCAGCGGGAGCTTCCAAGTGGACAGACAGCACAGACACGTGTTCTGGGCCGGCGTGAAGACGTCTGTTGGCTGGAGGTCTGACTTTGTTTTAGACGGAGTTTCGCTCGTTTCCCTGGATTGAGTGCAATGGCGCAACCTCAGCTCACTGCAACTTCCACCTCCTGGGTTCAAGCGATTCTCCTGCCTCAGCCTCCCGAGTAGCTGGGATTACAGGCGTGTGCCACCACGCCCGGCTGATTTTGTGTTTTTAGTAGAGACGGGGTTTCGGCCATGTTGGTCAGGCTGGTCTTGAACTCCTGACCTCAGGTGATCTGCCCACCTCGACCTTCCAAAGTGCTGGGATTACAGGCGCAAGCCACTGCGCCTGGCCTGATTTTCTTTTTAAATAGATTTAACAATTCTATCTACTGTTGAAAAAATGCACACATTTGTATGGGACAAAAAAAGGCCTAAAAGAAGGAAAACTGCAGGCTGGAAGACTGCTCTATGTTAACCTAGATAATGAAAGGAGGGGACCGCAGGCGCAGCTCACTCCCCGTTAGCCGCCGGCCTTTCATCAGGGGAAACAGGTTTCTGTACCACAACCTGTGCCTCAATAACAGCTCACTTAAACAAACAAAAAAACCAAGAGATCAGGCTGACATGACTCATCATGGGACAGACAGGTGCCAGCTGAGGGCCATGGTGAAGCACTAGTGGCCACAATGACCTCGGACACTCCTGACGGAGTAGCCACTCAGGGACTCAGCAGATGGACCCGTCACAGGCGGCGCATGCCAGCTTACGCCAGCTGAAAACCCCAAGGAGCCAGGGCAGCTAAAGGCAGCACCCATGAGGACGCACCCTGGCCAGCCCTGGAGCCACCAGCAGGCGAGTGGGGACCTGGCAGGGGAGCCTCGGCTGCCTTCCAAACCCCTGTCCATGCAGCTCACTGCACAGGACAAGACAGTCCCTGTTCTTTGACACACTTGAAGAGTCTGCAAGGCACTCAAGCGATGTGGAGGCAGAGACGGGTCAGAGGTCGACATTTTGGTGGGAAACCTTGAGAAGAATTCTGTTTCTCCCTGTCGGCAATTTCTCTAAAATCAAGATGCACACTTGTTTTAAAGACAAGTGGATGGTTCTGGCCCACTCTACCCAAGTCAACTTTTCATCCTTAAGTCCAGCCGGCCCTGTCTGGAGTGGGACAGAGACAGCCAGGAATGGGGCTCCCTCTGGCCACTGGGAAGAAAGGCAGGGGCTCACCCGCGCTGCTCCCGGAGGTCGGCAGTGCCGTGCGGAGTCGGTCGAAGTCAGAGAACTCGTCAGGCTCCGTGTCGAATCCCCCGGTGGCTGTGGGGCCGGGATGCTCTGCTCAGCCCCTCCCTGGGGCCCCGCCTCAGCTCCCACCTCCAGTCCGGGTGCCCACCCTTCCTTAGGATGCTCGACTCTAACATCTCCCACTCACTCCTGCCCGGGGCTCCGTTCCCACCCCCACTGCAGTACCTGTGGTGCCATTGGTGCTGGGTTTGGCAGGTGACCCTCCCCAGGGATCTGAGAAGGCTGGAGCCGGTGTCCAGGGATCAGAGGCCGAGGGTCCACTGACCGGGACCCCACCTGGGTGAGGACCCAAGAGCATGAGGAGCTGGCAACCTTGACTGCCCAGATGGCCGGGGGAACCATTGCCTCTGAATCTGTGGCTGTTCACACAAAAGCTCCCTTGCTCCCGGTCTCCCGCACACAAACTCAAATTCCAACTGGGCATCACTGCCAGGCTCTGGCCCTGGGACCCCAGCTGGGGTGAGGGGCTTCCCCGCAGCCTCTGCCAGACCTACCCAGCCCTCCCTCAGCTCCCCCACCCCTCCCCTGTCCAGCTGGGTGTCAGGCCCTTCTCCACCCCCACCTCCACCCACCACCCTTCCCAGATGCCTACGTCGCACAGGCTCTGCCCTGGCCGCAGCCTCTGGGCCCCTTGGCTGAGCTGCTCCCCATAGCACACCCCCATGTCCTCCAAGGCACAATCTCACACGCCCTGTCCTGGGCTGTCTCATCTGACCCCCTCCCCTGTACCCAGGACGCCCCCACCACTGCCCGGCACCACTTGGCTGCATCTGTCCCTGTCCAAGGGCACAGCCAACCAAGGACAGGTGCACACAGGCATAGAGGCCGCACGCAAGCAGGCCACGCACTCACCATCGGAACTTCCCCATGGATCCGGCGTGGGCCCCTCCCCGGCTGCAGGGGCTGGGGTCCCACCCCAAGGGTCAACTGAGGGTCCTGCAGGGGCAGCAGGCCTCCAGGGGTCCCCAGAGGCCGGCGTGGGGGCTGGACCTCCCCAGGGATCAGCAGCCGGAGGGACAGGGGGGCCGCCCCAGGGGTCCGAGGTGGGGGCAGCCGTGGGGACGGCAGCAGCCACGGGTGCTGGGCCCCCCCAGGGGTCTGTGGTCGGGGGAGGAGCTGGGGCTGTGAAGACGTCAGCAAGGTCCATGAGGGACGACTGTGGGGGAGAGAGAAGAGGAGGAGCATGAAGAAGTGGTGGGAAGCCCGGGACAAGGACCAAGCTGGGGCCCGTCGCTGGGGAGGTGGCCAGGCCCTGGGTGTCCAGACAGCAGCCATCCGTAAGGGGTAAGAGGGAGGCAGGCCCCAAACACACCACCCACCCTCCCTCCTTGTACGTCCTAGGGTCGGCCCACCCCTGCCCACCTCCCCCACCCCAGGGAGCCCCAAAACAGGCCACACCCCTGCCCCACATCCATTCTCCACACCACGGCAGGGCAGCCCCTTAACCCCACCTGCTCCCAGGTCCTTGCCCAGCCCTGACTGAGGATGGAGGCCAAGCCCTCCCCTCACTCAACCCAAAGCAGCTCACTTCTCCCTCTGCCCACCGTGCCTTCTTCAGTCAGCCCCCAGTCCCTGCTCCATGCCTTCCCCGGGGAAGCCCCCCCTGAACCCCACTCAGGTCGCCCTGAGCACCTCTCATGATGCCCCCTACATTGCCCTGCCGTCACCCCACAGTCATCGCACTGCAGGCCTTCCCACGCCGCACGCACACGCTGCAAGGTCCTGTGTTCTGGGGTGGCACACGACGGGCCCAGCTAACCAGAGCCCCTGTCTCGGAAAGTGCAAGTGTCCCCAACAGACTCAGGCACACATCTCCTGTCAGCACCGTGAGGCAAAGGCCCCGGGGGGATGGGAGGGGAAGAAGAGCTGAGTCCAGGGCAGGAGAAGAGATGGGTGAGATCCGGTGCTCTTCCAACGGGGCAGCCCTTACTGGGGTCACTGAGCTGTGGGGGACACTGGTAGAGACCCCTTGGCCGAGGCTAACATAAAGAGGCTTTCCATCTACCAAGAAAGTCCCACTGTGCCTTATGGCCACAAGCTGTCTGCCGCCTCCCATGGAGAGGGGGCCTTGTCCCCACCCCTCAAACCTGGGCTGGCCTCAGGACCTGCTGAGACCAACAGCAGTGCACAGGCTGGGAGCCAACTCCGACCCAGCCCGATAAGCCTGTGCTGGGGTGGGGCAGCAGCGGCTACTGTGCTGTGAGGACACTCGGGACAGACTAGTAACTGGGGAGAGGCCAGGGCAGTAGGCTGGAGGGCAAGGCCTGTGCGGACACCCTGGGCCCAGAGGCGTGAGTGACCTCAGCTCTGACACGAAACAAAACCAGCCAGCAGGGCCCCGTCACAGAGAAGTACTGAAGCGTGACCTGAAAGCGCAAGGTTGTAGGAGGGTTTGCTACTCAGCTGCAGAGCACAGGAATGCCACAGAAACACTGTCTGCAAGGGCGGGACCATGCCTCATCGCTCACCAACAGACCCTGGTGTGCAGCACACGGCATGGCACCAAGGAGGTGCCGAAGAAAGTGTAACAGATGGGCGAGCCCTACACCCTCCTTCCTGTGGCCATGTCAGGCTGTTGACCTATTCTGGGCCTCCCCATTCAGCTGTGGCAGGTGGGGGTGGCCCTCATGGTGCTCGGCCCAAAGAGGGATGGCCAGTGCTGACCACAGAAGGTGGCCACAGGGCAGCCTGGTGAGTCACCAGCCTCAGCCCAGCGGGGAGGAAGAGGCAGTGAGAGGCCAACCAGGCCTGGAAACCCAGTGCCCAGCTCCAGGACCTTGTGTTTCAGCCTCTGCTCCAGGGACCTGGCCATGCAGGAATGAGCAATGGAACGGACACACACCTGCGGGGGCCAGGGAGGGCAGAGCAAGCCCCGCTCACCTCCTCCTTGCCCCCGGTCTCTCTCTTGCTCTCCTCGATCGCCATCTGCAGCCGCAAGTCATCCCCGCGACGGATCCGCTCCTCCTGTTGGGGCACAGGCAGCAGCCAGGGAGACATGAGAACGTTAGCTGTAGGCAGATGCCACCTCAGCCCGGAAGCCCCAGCAACCCCTCCCACCCCAACGAAGGCGGCTGAAGGATTCGATGGGATGCGGACAATGTATGAAATGGGGATGGGGCACCTGGGTCAAAGGTCGGGTGGGACACGGGGATGAGGGGAGTGGGGTGCTGTGCTGGGACACCCAGGGAGGACAGGCACCCGCCTCAGTGGTATCTCCTGCGTTGGGGGGAGGAACGGACCCTGGTCACCCAAGCAACCTTGGCACGGCTGCACTGGCCGCCACCAGGCTCTGTCTGACCGGAGGTCCTACAGCTGAAGGTACTGAGGCTTCAACATGCGTGAGCCTGTGGGCTTTCCAGCCCAGCAGGATGGTGGGGGGTGACTTAGGAAGGGGCGATGGGGCTGGTCTGAGGGGAGTCCCTGGCAGGGGCAGGGAGGCTGCTCTGACCTTATCATGCTCTTCTCGGCTCAAACTAAGGGCCAGCTGGAGCTGGGCGTCGTCCTCGGGGCCGCAGGATGGGGGCTGGGGGAGAGAGAGTGTGAGGGGCATGGCGGGAGGGGCCAGAGGCAGAGGCAGGAAAAGAGGTAGAGCCAGAGTCAGATAGGGTCAAAGAAAGAGAGGGCTTGGGGTCCCTGAACCAGTGAGGGACAGGCAGAGAGTGACACGCAGAGGGACGGGGGGTGAGGATGAGGCAGGACTGAGGAGGAGACGAGTGACAGCACGTGGAGCAGCGACAGTGAGGGCCAGGCCTGCGTCTGGCTGGGAGGCAGCCTGAGGTGAGACGTGGAGGCGGGTGGCGGACAGACAGCCCCAGCTGCACGCCCAGTACCTGGTCAGCCTCCTCTTTGCTCATGGCCAGGGCCAGCTGGAGCTGCAGCTCCTCCTCCCCACTGCTCTGTGGCCATGCCTGTTCCGCCTCAGGAGGGGGGCCTGAGCCCACAGCGGCTGATGAGGCTGGAGGGTGGGGGAGAAACTCGTGAGACCCAGACCAGGGAACGAGAGACAGGAAACCCCACAGCCTAGAGAGATGGGGGCTTCTGTGTCCAACCCCACCCCCCAAGTCCCCCACTCTACAGCCTCTGAAGGCCAAGACTAGGACCGAGAGGCAGAGACCAGACACCAAGTGCCCAGAGGAGAAAGGGTCCCCGGAGGGGGGTGCAGGCAGCCCCACCTATGGGAGAGGCCAGGCATCAGGGAAAGACCAGAGCAAAAGTCAGTCTGATAAGCAGATGGGGAACCCCAGGAACGTCTGAGCCCTGCCACCACCAGGACTTCCCGCGTGCCTGGGGTCTGTTGCTGGGCCCCTGGGGGATGGGAGGTCCTTCCTCCCGGGTCTCCCAGGCCTCTGTTTCCAGGGCTTGTGGAGAATGGTAGCTCTGGCAGGGAACAACTGGAATTCAGAGTGGGAGAACAGCATCTGTTGAGACGGCAGGATCCAAGGCCTGGTCAGGGCTGGGGAGTGGGCCAGGAAGGAGCCCTTGGTTCCAGGAGCAGGAGGAGGAGGGACAGAGAGGACACAGGAAAGCACGGCCGGACCCTCCAGGAGGGTGCTGAGATATCCCCGGCCTCCACTGCAGCATCCTCTCAGTGACCCCTGCCTACCCTCAAACTCTGTCCTGACACTGTTCTCTCCACCCTCAAGGCCTGTGGACCCTAGGCCCCCCTCCACAGTGCAGAGAACAGGCTCCAACCAGGCCCCAGGCCCGCCGAGCGTGGGGCCATTGCCCCAGCCTCCAAAGCCCCAGGGTGGACCTTGCCTCTCCTGCCCCGCCCTCCCCACCACTGTGCACTCGTCAGCAAGTTCTGTCCGCTCCAACTCCAAGACGCCTTGCACCTGTGTTCTATACTTCTGTCCCCACCCAACCCACTCCCCTGGCCCAGGCCTCTCCCTGACAAGCAGGCCCTGACTCCCCTCGCCCAGAGCTGCAGCAGGCAGCTGTCTGGCGGCCCCACCTGCACCAGGTTCAGGGGCCCCCAGGCTGGCCCCCGTGCAGTGTGCCCAGCAGGACTGGGTGCATGGTATGCCCAGGGAGCACGTGGGCGGCAGAGCGAGGCCAAAGGGTGACCATCTGGGGTTATGAGTGAAGAAAGGATGAGAGAACCAGCAGCGGCTGACAGACTTGGGTGGGTAAGTGGCCGTCTGGGGGGATGGGCAGATGGAAGGGCAGCGTGGGGCACGGGTGAGGCCGGGGCACAGGGAGGACCACACTCCTGTGGCCCCTCCTCCTCTTCCCTGCCTCTGCAACTTCCTCCTGAGCTCTGGGGACTCTCAGTGGTGGGTGCTGGGAATCTACACCCCAATGCCCAACCTCTACCTTGCAAATGCCCCAACCCCCCCAGCCCAGTGGTGGCTAAATCCAATGCCGAACAGCCCTGAGGGCCCCACCTCCCACATCACAGGTAACACGGCACCCAGCCAGCAACACCCGGGCCTTCCCATCACTGGATCCCCCAGCCTCGGTGCTGCCCAGGGACCACAGGCCCTTCCCCGCCCACTGGGGGTCTCAGGGCGCACTCCCTAGCTGCCCCCAACCTCCTCCCCAGCCACAGCCCTCCACACAGCTCGCTCCAGGACAGGGGCCAGCACACCACAGTGGCAACCACAACTGGCCTGAGAAGGTCCAAGAAAGGCCTTTACATTTTTCAATGGTGGGAAACAATGAAAAGAATGCACCAAGATGGGCGAAAACTCGAGTACCCTTAAAAAATTAAATAACTGAAAAGTCTTAAAAAGGCAGTGAAAACTACATGAAATTCACATTCCGGAGTCCTTGGTGAGTGTCAGAGGGGCACAGCCGCTTTCCAGCAACTGCTGGCAGACAGGACCAGGCAGCTGGGATGGGAAGGCGTGGCCAGCAACGCAGAGGACGCTGGCTCTGGCCCTGCACAGAGTCTGACCACCCCCAAGCCAGGATCTCCCACCCTCAGGCCTCTTCCCTGAGGCTCCCGCCAACGTCCCTCCTCAGTCCACCCCAACCCCGCCGCCCACCTGTCTGCCTCAAGCTGACCAGCCCCTCTCTGCCGCCCACACTCCCTCCTGGTGTCCCCAGCTCTGAGCACTCCCACGCCATGCCAGCTTCCTCCCTCCACTTCACACTCTGCTTTCACGCTGTCTACCAGCTCCTGGGTCCTTACTCTGGAGTTCTGGGCAGGGCCGTACACACCCCATCACACCCATGTATCCCCGTGGGTGCTGAACGGTGATCCCAAATGAGACCTGTCCAAACAGAAGGTCTAGACTCCCCAAACAAGTCCAGTCCCTCGAGCCGGACCCCATGGGGGCCACAGGCCCTTCGTGCTGTCTGCGCCGGCCTGGCTGACCCACCTCCATCTCCAGGGCAGTGCTCTAGCGGCCCCTCCCCATCTCACGCACCCCCACTAACTGAGGCACCTCCACTCTTCCTGGAGAGCAGAAGAGCCTCGCAGACATTCTCCAGCCTCCCTCCCAGTCCTGAGCAGCAGGACTAGTCTCTTCACGGCTGTGAGCCCGCGACCAGCATAGCTCACACTTTCCAGCACAGTCCAAGGCCCACACACCCATCACATAACTGGAAATGTTTCGTGGGGCAGATCTTGGCCTGACGATGTGGGAGGCACTATTTCAAGTTTTGTTTTCAGGGCTGGTAACCACCCACCAGACTGAGTCCTCCACCTCCGGAAGGCATTGCCAAGGCTCCTAACGCAGGCCCAGATGCCTGGTGCAACCTGCAGGCCCTGGCTCTGGCCTTCCTTCTGTGCCCCTTCCAGGCCCCCCTCTGCCTCTCCGATGTTCCCTCATCTCGGCGCAGACAGAAGCACGGCACCCTCGGGAGTCACTGTGTGACTGTCCCCAGCACTGACCGCCCTCAGGCCCTGAGCCTATGGGGGAGTGGAATAAAAGTTCCCAGTTCTAGACCTGCCCTGGGGCACAAGGCAAGAGGCAGGAAGGGCCCCAGAGCTGCTGCATGGGAGGTCCTAAGGGAAAAAAGGGCACAAGTGAGACCAGAGCAAGGGTCCCAGGTGAGGGGAGGAAAAGGGGGATGCCTCAGTGGCTCCTGGCTGGGAGACAGGGAAGCAGGCAGAGGACAGACTCTAGGCTGTCAGGGGCCGCAGGGAGGGCTCACCCGTGGCGGTCTGTGCCAGCTTTTCCTTGGTCTTGAGCGCGTGCGCCCGCTCCTCCCGCAGCCGGTCCTCGTCGCGCAGCAGGGCCACCAGCTGCTTGGCTTTCTCACGCACGTTCACGCCCTGGTCCTTGCCGTCGCGGTCCACGTACTGGAAGTCCTTCAGCGTCTGCACGGCGTACATGTTCTCCTTGCACTGCTGTGACACGCGCTCTGAGCCGGTCTTGATGAGGTACTCCATCAGCGTCATGGCCTGCGGGCGGGCACAGGGACGCCCGGTCAGCACGCTGGGCGGTCAGCACGCTGGGCAGGCACCGCAAGGCGGGCTGGAGATGGCCCAGGCCCCGGGGCAGCTGACTGGGTGCAAGTCCCACAACCCACCTGTCCCCACCGAGTACGACACGGCCCCATGCTGTGACGGGGACCAGCTGCGGAGGGACTGCGTTCAGCGACAGATACACAGTAGGCCACACGGCCTGGGATTCCGTCCACATGAATCATCCAGAACCGGCAAATCCAGACAGACAGAGAGTGGATTATGGGTTGCCGGGGGTGGAGGGAGACATGGAGAGGGAACACCTGAAGGCTATGGGTTTTCTCTCTGGGGCGATGAAGGAGTTCTGAAGCTGGACAGAGGTGGTCGCACAGCACTGTGAATGGGCCGAATGCCGCTGAACTGTGCGGTATGAAGAGGACTGCACACTGTAGGAGCTCTATCTCGATCCAAATAAAAGAGGAAATGGCAGCTGCAGGCACCACAGCCGCCGGGGGCATCACCTGGCATCCCGGAGCCCTATTTCTCTACAACTAAAATCTAAAGTAACATGGCAAGAAAACCACATTAGTTAAATCACAATGAAGGGGGTCTTAGTATTCAGTTTGAAATGTGTCAGTATTTCTGACTGTAAAATCTCACGCTGGTATTAACAGCCTGGAGCAGTAGCTTGTCACCTCTGCAAGAAGGGAAGAGATCCACGCAAGGGCCCACGTAGGCCTGGGTTCTCTCGGGAGGGGCACCGAGGTTCCACACGACCAGGAGCAAGAGGACAGGGCACAGGCAACATGATCATTCAATCTGCACCCTTTGGTACGTTTGCATTTTATAATATGAAAACAAACTTGCTTTCAACAAGTGGAAATTAATAGTAGGGGCCGGGGGACCAAGGTCTCCGTGGCTCTTCCTAGCTCAGGCTCAGGTCCTGGGCTTGAGGGGTCATGGCCCCCTTAAGGCTCTGCAGCGGGTATCTTGGTCACTGACCTCAGGAAAAGGCACACCTTGGATTTTGCAGGTGATTCCAGGGCCTTCACAGAGCCCCAGAAACCCACCCAGGGCTCCTAGGGGAGGAGTCAGCTATCACAGCTAAGCTCCGTCTGAACCAAGGAGAAATTTGCCAGGAAAGATGCCAGGGCCATTCATATCTCCTCGCCCTCTGAGGCAGCTGGACCTAGCTCTGGCAAGGAGCCTTTCAAAGGTGTGTTAACAGCATTTACAGTGTAATCAGAGATTAGTCTTTAACCGGCCCTCAAGGTATTGACACGAAAAGAGAAAGGAAAGAAGATAAGCCATTTCTATGCTTTATCACACCCTAAGCCAAGAGGCAGTCCCAGGTCCACAACTCCTGGGGCCCTTGTGTTTTGGAATTCAGAATTTTCCTGAGTTCAGACCAGGAAAACAACACACATACAACACATAAGAGAACGCTCCAGGCACAGTCCTGCCAACAGCCACATTACCGTGGGACCAGCAGACACCATATAAACGACCTCACTTCAGTCTAGGTCAGACTTTGTGCCAAATGGATCATGAAACATTTTTGTTTCCAGAGCTCTCTGGACTTTGGTATCGCAGCTAAAAAGATTGTGAAGTGGGAAATAGTGCAAAAACCCACCCACAGTGAACTGCATATATAAACTATGGTACACTCACACAGTGGGACTACCACATACACTGAAATTAAAAATAAACAAGGCCAGGCGTGGTGGCTTACACCTATAATCCCAGCACTATGGGAAGCTGAGGCAGGTGACCACCCAAGGTCAGGGATTCGAGACCAGCCTGGCCCACATGGTGAAACCGTTTCCACTAAAAATACAAAACAATTAGCCAGGCATGGTGGTGCACACCTGTAATCCCTGCTACTCAGGAGGCTGAGGTGGGAGGATCCCTTGGATGGGGGCGGCAGAGGTTACAGTCAGCCAAGATCACGCCACTGTACTCCAGCCTGGGAGACAGAGTGAGATTCCATTTAAAAATAAATAAATAAGGCCGGGTGTGGTGACTCATGCCTGTAATCTTACCACTTTGAGAGGCCGAGGTGGGTGGATCACAAGGTCAGGAGTTTGAGACCAGCCTGGCCAACATGGTGAAACCCCATGTCTACTAAAGATACAAAAAAGTAGCTGGGCATGGTAGTGCGCACCTGTAACCCCAGCTACTCAGGAGGGTGGGGCAAGGAGAATCGTTTGAACCCAGGAGGCAGAGGTTCCAGTAAGCCGAGATCACATCATTGTACTCCAGCCTGGACAACAGGGCAAGATTCTGTCTCAAAAATAAATAAGTAAATAAATAAAATAAATCAATAAATGAAACAAATAAATAACCGGGCACAGTGGCTCATGCCTGTAATCCCAGTACTTTGGGAGGCCGAGGCGGGCAGATCATCTGAGGTTAGGAGTTACAGACCAGCCTGGCCAAGATGGTGAAACCCCATCTCTACTAAAAATACAAAAAATTAGCTGGGCATGGTGGCATGCCCCTATAATTCCAGCTACTCAGGAGGCTGAGGCAGGAGAATCACTTATCTTGGGAGGCAGAGGTTGCAGCGAGCCAAGATAGCGCCACTGCACTCCAGCCTGGGCAGTAAGAGCGAAACTGAGTCTCAAGAAAAAACAAAAAATAGGCCAGGCACGGTGGCTCACACCTGTAATCCCAGCACTTTGGGAGGCCAAGGTGGGCGGACCACGAGGTCAGAAGTTCAAGACCAGCCTGGCCAATATAGTGAAACCCCATTTCTACTGAAAGTACAAAAATTAGCCAGGTGTGGTGGCAGGCACCTATAATCCCAGCTACTCAGAAGGCTAAGGCAGGAGAATTGCTTGAACCTGGGAGGCAGAAGTTGCAGTGAGCTGAGGTCGCGCCATTGCACTCCAGTCTGGGCGACACAGCGAGACTCCGTCTCATAAATAAGAAAAAACAATTAAATAAATATTATTTAATAAGATTAATTATTTAATAATAAGGTTATTACTTAATCTTATTATATTGGGTGCAGTGGCTCAATCCTGTAACCCCAGTGCTTTGGGAGGCTGAAGTGGGTGGATCACTTGAGTCCACAAGTTCAAGATCATCCTGGGTGACATGGCGAAACCCCATCTCTAAATAAATAAACAAATAAATAAATAAAATAACAAAAAATTAGCCAGGTGTGGTGGCACGTGCCTGTCATCCCTGCTACTTGGGAGGCTGTGGCTGGAGGATTGCTTAAGCCCAGGAGGCGGAGGCTACAGTGAGCCGAGACCGCGCCACTGCACTCTAGCCTGGGCAACAGTGAGACTCTTTCTCAAAATAAACAAAAACTGCTTTATGCAACAGCACAGTCAACCTTGCTGACCTGATGGTGATGGTGAGCAACAGAAGCCAGACACAAAAGACCACACGTGACTCCCCGTATATAAAGTTCAAGAACAGTCTTGGCAGACAGAAGTCAGACACGGTGCCCGCAGGAGACGGGTTTCCTGAGGGAACCTGGAAGGCTGGATGCATCCTCTACCTCCCTCTAGGCGAAGGTTACACAGGTGTCCAATGTGTTACACATTCATGATGTGCTTAGTATGCAATTCCTTAATGAAAAATTTAAAATCTTATTTTAGAAGTGAGCAGGCCGGGCGCGGTGGCTCAAGCCTGTAATCCCAGCACTTTGGGAGGCCGAGACAGGCAGATCACAAGGTCAGTAGATCGAGACCATCCTGGCTAACATGGTGAAACTCCGTCTCTACTAAAAAATACAAAAAAACTAGCCAGGCGTGGTGGCGGGCGCCTGTAGTCCCAGCTACTCGGGAGGCTGAGGCAGGAGAATGGCAGGAACCCGGCGGGTGGAGCTTGCAGTGAGCCGAGGTCCGACC